GAAGAATAATATTATCTATTTTATGCCACACAGGATCTAAAAAACACCTTTTATCAATAATTCTCACTAAGAAGATTTAATTATGAGGCAAAAATCTCAACTTTCTAAGTGAATACTACAGTCAAGGTCCTATGTTACAAGGTCAATGTTACACCTGACATGGACCTCTATTTCCACCTGACTCCTAAATCCATTCTTCTAGTAAATGATGCTACCTAAAGCTTATACGAGTACTTGAGCATCTTCCCTAAGAGAAATGTGGAAACCTGAGGTTTATATGAGGTTTGCAAAGAGCATATGTGACCCTTGCTGTCAATCAATGTTGTGTCACTATACTAACGACTCCTTCAGGTACAAAGGCCTTGAGGAACCACCTGGTGGGAATGAACTTTTTAGAAGGGAGTCTTTCCACGAACCATCAATCTCCCCCTCAACCAACCTGCTCCGGAGTGGGAGCCTGTGTTCCATCCACATATGAAATCTCTGGCTTCCCTTCGCAATTAACATTGCAACACTTGCTAACATAAAACTGGTATCCACATGTTTGAAGACTGTTCATTGACCACACCATTATCTTAGCAATTGTACATGTGCCCAGTGCTGCCACCTGCTGACAGAGCATTTACTGCAGGGCGGAATTCCCAGTGTGACCTTTACAGAAGCCTGCTAATCAAGGCAAAGCAGTGTTTGAAGAGGCGACATTTGCAAACTGCTTGTCCAATCTTACTTTCATAGTATCCTTTAACACTGGGCAGGTGAGAAGGCTTATCATGTAAGGGTGCTCGATGACAAACTAGATGATTTGAATTTGATCCCTAAGAGGCACATGATAGAATGAGAGAACAAAGTTGTCCTCTGACTTCTGCATGCATGCTGCGGCACACACACACACACACACACCCAAACACATATCACATACATGTATACACCACATATATATGCAATCATACTTTTTAAAGATTGTTTCAGAGGGAAGAAAAATGATCCTGCAGTAGAATACTAATGGAGGAATCATCCAAGGAAATGAGAAAATACATCTCAGGCTGTTTCAGATAAATCACTGCCAACAAAGGGGAAGTGTAAGACTTGGGCATCATGGCAGATCATTGAACCAACCCAAAAAAGGACCGCAATTTTGTCATGACCATGTCACTGAACAAACCAAGAATCATAACCGCCATCTACCAGTAACAGCATGAGCTGAACCATAATAAGAACAGATTCTGCAGCCCAGAAACCACCTAAACATACCCATGGTGGAAACCAACGAATGCCCTGGCATTCTCCCTTCCATTCCTTGTGGCAGGAGCCTCTTTGACAGCTTTGGACCTATGATATAGAACTAAGAAAAGTCTTTAATGATAAGCCACTCCCAAACACCAATGTAACCAGGAGAAAACTAAATTTCCTTTAACTGAGAAATTAAGTTTTTCTTTCATCCTGTGAACTTAAAAGATTGAAGCCTGAAAACGTGTTGAAATAAAGAAAATTGGATGGTTTTCTTCACATATCTGAGTGATGTTCTGGTACTGATGAGTATCTAGCCCCTTGGTGAGTTTCAATGAATATTTGTCCTTAACTTGAGAAAGTGGTCCATGCAACGAAACTAAGAGTACCAAACCACACACTCTTTTTCACCACTTTGTTCTCCTGTCTGTTCAGAAGTGGGTGACAAAACTTTCAGAACTAAGAGAGAGCCATCGCTCTAACATAAGGTTCGCTGCTCTTCTGTACTGCTCAGCTCTGCGAGGAAAAGGAAAGCGCCAGATGAGGGGGTTTCAGGCGTGAGTCATTAGATTTGCAAATTAGTGTAATGAAAATTACCAACACGGATCTACGGATTTAAATCAACTGTATATTTTTCCGGAATCTCAATAGAAAATAACTGTTTGTTCCTTCCAAGAAATAGTTAAGATTGTTTTTTTTTTGCATAAATCAATATGATCTGCACAATAAAGCTAATAACTCAGGGAAGACTATAAAATGTAGCCTTGTAGCTTCATTCCAGGGCTTCGTTCCAGGAGCTAAATAGCAGTTTCTATTTCTAGTCGACTGCCATCTTTATCAAGTTACTTCCTTGACTCAGTGACAGGTTTTAAAAGACATGTTCTGAAGTAAAGCTGTTGTCCTGCTCTTTGTTCCTTGAGTTTAAGACAGTGATTGCTAAATTAATAAGAGTTATTGGCCATTACTATATTTTTAAGTTATTTCATAATAGTGAGATGAATTATATGTACATAAGATTAGTTCTAAAAAAATACTCTTACTATTTTTTCATCATAGAAGCATCCATTTATCTCATGTTAGGTTATCATATTCCTATTTATCTGTAAGGCTAAGTTCCAAGATACGTAAAAAAAAAAAAAAAGTAATTTTGTCTAATAATGAGTTATTTTGTATTTTAACAGCATGCTGTTACTCATGTAATCCTTCCAACAAGATGCAAACATGGAATATAATTTTTAAAAAAAGCTTTCTATAACCAAGGAGGATAAAGTCCAGTAATTTTAGATTATTGTGTGAAATGTACTTTATTAGATATATGATAAATGTTAATGCATGTTTACCCCTTAGCTTCTAAAATGTAACAAAATTTTAAAATGTGTTTTAAATAAATATAGCACAGTGGTTTGCTTATCTATCATCTATTTGAAATCAAAATGGCTTAAAATATAATGTAAAAAAATTTGAGTTTAGTGTTTACTTGGATAGAAGTGTCTTCTACTTAATTACGGAAAAGCACTGTTTATTTTATTTATTCTCACTGAATATTAGCAGAACAGATTGGCTGCTGTGCACTCTGATGCTGTAATGATGTCAGGTCCCATAAAACTTAAGCCCGATTTGTTTTATTGTTGCCTAAGTAAGGAAATTGGGTTTTAGGATTTCCAACACTCTCAAACTAGAACTTTATTTTCCCTAAGTTTCAATGGTAGAATTTAGTCACACAGCTGTTGTCTTGAAGTTTTCTTAAAATCTTGTGCATTCTGGCCTGTGAGATGGCTCAGCTACTGACCTGTCATTCAAGATATGCAGGCTGTAGCAGTAGCAGAACAACCATTGTGAGAGGGCAAATGACTACTCCTTAACTAGATTGTAGACCTGTTTCCACAAGAGGAATTTCATGACTAGCAACATAAATCTGGCCAAAACTTATGAAGGAAGAAGTCTTAGGTCTTAGGGAATCCCTACCCCTGCTGCTTAGCTACACTGACATGGCATTAAGTTCCTCCTAGGTGCCTGTTTATACCTCAGACAAAAGCTACTCTCCAATTTAATGAGAGTGCTCTTTGCAATGAGCAGGGATCAATATGGCAACTTACAGTTGCACAGGATGCTGAGACTTAAAGGTGGTTGAGAGCCCAGCCTTAAATAAGACATTTATAACACCAACTCCTTCAGGCTCAGGGAACATTCCAGAAGAGGGAGTGGAAAAACCACATATGAGAGCTAGAAGATAGACAAACAGCCATCCATGTTATCATGTAAGCATGACAGTCATGGCAATCATAAACTCAGCGCATCTGCACCAACATGCACTGTGGTCCAACCTAAAAATCCACTGTAAATGGAGAAGGGGCTTACCTCTTACTCCTGAACTACTGACAGATAACAGATTCTGGGGTGAGGAGAGGCATAATACCCAGTTATGTGCTCACTGGTTACGCCGTTAAACTCAAGGCCACACAGAGAAGCCTGTGAACCCTCCAACAACACAAAAAAGTTGAGAACACGAAAAAAAAATGTTTTTAAGGAAGAGGGGAGGCTGGAAATGGCGTCAGAGAAGTAACGGAAGAGGGAAAGTAACCAGAATGCATTGTGTGTGTGTGTGTGTGTGTGTGTACAAAATTGTCAATAAAGAAAATATGTTAACAAAGAGAAAAAGAATGGATCAAAAAGAAAGCTAAAAAAAAAAACACTTATTGACTAGACATAAAATATTTCAACAAAAGTAAATGCAGTTTTTTAAGTATGGAAAGAAGGCTAAAACTCTAAATGGGAAAGTGGAATTTGCAGTATGCCTAAAGTGTAAAGGACCTAGCGTCATTAGCTGTCCAAATGGATCTCTCCAACATGAACTAGAAATACTTCCTTCTATTTCTGTCATTAGAAATAATTCAACTCAACGTGCCTTCTCATCATCAAAATTCATCCACATCCTCATGTGTCAAAAAGAACAAAGAAGATGGAGCACAATTAATCTCATGTAAACTGTCAGGAAAGAAATGCAACATATTGCCATGAGAATGTAAGGATGCTTGCAAACCATATGTGATATTGAAGTCAGGGGAGAAGCAACTAACAGAACTCTCCTTGGACACATGCAACAGCTGAGTATCTAAAACAAAAGAGAAAGTATAATGGATCCATAGGAACTGACCCAGTAAATGTCCATTTTGCTGTTCCTAAAAGTGATAGAAATTTAACATAAAACTGCAAAGCAATCCTCATGGAATTGTATTACTTGGTATTCATTTAATACAGTGAAGAAGGTTGATTTGTGTGAGCATTCTGTCTACTAAATTCATAAAGTAGTGCATTCATACCATCATCTTTCTGTATAAATGCAGCAAACATAAAGAACTGGAATAAGTCACACAGTCTCAATGATGCCAGAAATTGTCCCCAAAGAGGAAGCAATGATGATCAGCAGAGGTCATACACACACACAAACATACACACACACACACACACACACACACACACACACACACACGAAAGATAACTCAGAGCTAATGGGCCCTACCAGCCACTCACAGCACAATTGGGTTCCAAAACAATGGGAGCTGAATATCCCAAAAGTGAAATGCTTGAAGCTAGGGCTATCACTCAGAGGCAAACTTCTTGCCTAGTAATCATGAAGCATAAGTTCAATCCCCAGAACTTAAAATAAGATGGAGGTATTTTCTTAGACATGCTTTACTGCATCTCTTTGGAGGTAAAACTTCAATGTGTTGGTTCACTTAATAAAATTGTTAATGTATAAGAGATATATTGCAGCCCCCTCGCATGAACAAAGAGACACCTTGGTGGTGGTGGTACTCTTCTATAAGTCAGGAGTAGAGCAGATAGCCATCCTTTATTTATTCTAGCTTGATGCCTGGCTTGGTGGCCAAAGCTGTCTTATGCCTATGACACATAAAAATCCAATCAAATCAAATCCAGGCAGTACAACTCAGAAGAAGGAAGACAGACAGAGGCCTGCAGATCACCATGCCACCCATAGACCTGCCCTCCGGTCCAAGGCACAGGCGGGCCACAGTTACTCTGCTTGCTCAAGGATGTCACCTGAGCCTGCCATCCTAGTGGCCAGCCTGCAGCGGGAGCCACCACAATGTGAACGTGTGTAGTGAACACATGGGAGAGAAAGAGAAGCAGAGCTGCTGGGGCACGATGGAGAGAAATAAAACTGGAGAGTGAAGAGGATTAGCCTGCTGTGAGGGACCAGCCCCACCACCTTGGACCATGGTGAAGTACTGGCCCAAGCTGCCACTGAGGGCCACACCTGGGTCTGTGACTACAGAGTGGCAAGGGTCGATGTCAGTAGTTCATATTAACGCTAGAGAATATGGGAACTTTCTTGGTCAGGGAAGCCAACAGAGACCGTGTGACAGTTCAGGAGCTGTGCAGAACCGGCCCCACACTCACTGGCATTCTGGAAATCAGGCCCCACCTCTCACCAGCGGCAGCACTCTGGACAGCGAGCCCTGCACCTAACCTGTGCAGCCCATAGTGCTGGCCCTAGCCTAGGGGTGAATGGATGAGCCAGCACCCATAGAAAGGGAGAGCTGGCCCTGCCACTTGTCTCCCTGACATGAGGTGGTGTGGGTGCAGGGATGATGCTCTCTCCTCAGCGCCTTTCACCACCTGTTGCAGTCTGGAGAGCTGGTGATGGGAGTAGGCGAGCTCTCCCTGTCCCTCACTGGCTGCAGCACTTGGGGGAGCAGGTCCCACACCTTGCCTGAGCAGCACAGTAGAAGGGGTCCTGCTGGCAAAGGCAGTGGCGAGCCAGCCCTTAGGGCATGAGCACAGGAGAGCTGGCCCAGGCCCTTGCAAGCTGCAGCACCTGGCAGAGTGGGCCCTGTGCCTTGACTGGGCTGCACAGTGGAGCTGGCTCTGGAGGCGTGGAGGTGTGAGCCTTTCCCAAGGGTATGAGAGCAGGACAGCTGACCCTGCTTCCTGTGGATGGCCGCATTGGGTGGCTTCACACTGACCAGCTCAGCTATCCCCCAGGCCCAGATCCAGAGCCCTGAGTTTGCCCACCCCAAAATCTGTATTATCTGCAGACAGCTGGGAGACATGAAAAGGCAAGTCCTGCTGATTGAAGGCTGTAGGATCTCCATGACATAGGGCAACATCAGGATAACTGGGAGGAATCCCTGTGAGAATCCAGTATTGATGGTGTCACAAGAGCTAGAGTGTGTGTGTGTGTGTGTGTGTGTGTGTGTGTGTGTGTGTTTTATTTTGAAGTAAAGGTTGCAAAAACAAAGGGAGGGGTTGAGGGGACAGGGAGATAGGCAGGACTGGGGTGCATGACATAAAACTCATAAAGGATCAATGAAGGATTGAGAGAGAGGGCAAAGCATGTTAAACACAATGTTTCAGAACACATATATAACTCTCTAAGGATAACTCATCCTACCATTTGGAATAACTGAAGCTTAAATAAGGGGCAGATGGTGAGTTTAAAAGGTTCCATCATAAAGCAGGTTTATTGTCTTCAAATCAAGCCCAGCCCAGAGCATGCCATGCAAACAGATTCTAATTGCCAATGATTTAACGTCCCAACCTGTGACTTGTGAAAGATTTTTTTTAGCTCCTAAGACTAGGAAGGAACATATAATAGCATTGTGTCATAAGATGTAAGCTGTACACTTAAATCCAGAGTCAAGGCCTCTATAATGCTTGTAATATATTTTACACTATTTCTGTAATGCATGTGTCCTTCCTGTGATTTTTAACATTTTGAACCAGATATTCAACAACTTTAATAAAATGCTCTTACAGTACTTTTTGTAATGTATGTGCCTTTACTCTGATTTTAACATTTTGAACCAGATATTCAATAATTCTAATAAAATACAAAATTGGGCACTGTGGGACAGAGTTGTAATACTGACAACTGTAAGAGGCAGAGGGATCTGATGTTCAAGGTCATCCTCAGTTACACAGCAGCTCAACAGCTTGAGATACATGAAATATTGCCTCAAAAATAAAAAACTAATATACAGTTTATTTTTCTTTTTGGTTGTGAGCCTCATGTGCTAACGGCTGAGCCATTTCTTCAGCTCTGTTCAGGCCCCACTCCCAAGAGTAACTGAGAAATACAAATAGACTCAACAGGAAAAAATAAAGACAACTCAAGGCTGAACAGTAGGGAGGGCAGAGGGGCAGAGTGGGTATGGGAGAAGCAGGGAAATGAATAGAATCAAAACATATTAACTAAAATTCTCAAAGAGTTAATACAAATATTGTTGAAAGCTTTAAAATTTGTTTTTTATTATTGAAAATTTCATACATGTATAAGATAAAATACAATCATATCCAACTACCATTTCTCTCTCCAACTAGCCAGATCTTCTCCAACACCTCCTCCTCCCAATCTCATTTTTTTTTAAGTATAACAAATCTGATTACATAATGTCTCAAAGACCCCAGGACTTTCTCATTTTTCTGTCCATTTGACATCACCCTAGTCTATATGACTGGAACCTCCTCTGGAGCATGTTAGCTTTTTTTCCTGATTCTTGGAAGGAGAAGAAGAAATGAAGGACAAGAAATTTCCTCAACAAAGAACATAACCAGAATTCTGTGAACATCATCCTATTACATTTTTGTATCTAAAAGATGGTTGTAATCTATACCTAGCTATCAAGGCATCTATAAAAGAGAATTAAGTTGCACAGCTCTGTGCCCAGCTACAACTGGGTACAGGGATGTTATTTCTAAAAATGAGACTATGGGGAACGGTAATTAGCAACCTGCCACAGAAGAATAGTGTTCAATGAAGTTATGACAAAGTACTGGAAATTAACAACAACAACAACAAAAATGTTTAGACAGTACAGAGAGTTCTCACTCAGCCGGCACCATCCCTTCCACTGTTGCAGAAGTTCCAGAACATTCCATCCTGGCTGACGGAGTAATAAGAAACAAAACTCACTCAAAAGAAAACCCTGCTTCCTTGGCTATTTTAAAATAAACATTAGCTTTTATATTTAATTCAATTAACTTCCCAATAAGAAGAAAAATATTTAAAAGATATCAATAAAACTTGCAAAATAATATCTTTGAATCAACATTTCACGATTATTGGGTTATTATATTCCTTGGGGAAAAATAGTTAAAATAAGTAATAAATTTTATAGTACCTCAGGGACATGGTATAAATTGAGCTTAAGATACAAAACGACTGTTAAATGTTTTTGGTTTGTGCACAGGAATCCAAAGGAATGGTACTAAACAACACTGATGAGTTCTTTGGAACTTCAAAGCAAATCATTATTAGCCTGTCAATGGATAATATTATCTAATAAAATTTGCACTTGCACCTTTCACTTACGCAAAATCATTTTCTTAAAAATACCACATCTATATTAAATATTTAAATTTCATATTTTCAACAGTGGAAATCAGAAAAATGTTAATAAAATTTATATCACAAAATATTTTTGAGTAATATCATCTAAAAACCCCAAAATGATGTGCTTCTTAATTTTTGGCAATGATCTCTCTGACATGCTTTTTGTTCAGATCAAAACGTATGAATGATTTTCTTCACTTATAAAAAGGAAGCATAGGCTACACCATGCCACAAAAAGGAAGCATATTCCACACACAGGCCACAGGATGACAGAAGCAGGGCCACAGACATCTGAAAGACTAAAGCTGGGATGGGAAGGAGGGGAGAAAAATGTCCAAAAGTGGATCTGGAAAAGGAAGAACAAAAGAAGAGACAATTTTCCATGAGGTTAAGAGCACCAACAGTATTCTTGAGACAACAACACGTGAGTATTAAAGCTTAGAGTCTTTATTATTTACCTATTATTTATTATTTAGAAATATATTACAGGGGCGACTCAACTCCGTTTGCATTTTAGAAATGTCACTTACAAAAGTGGGTGAATGGCAGCAGGAAAGAGGACTTGAGGTCAGACTTTCATGGTGGTCAGAAGGAAAGGAAAGATCACTCAGCACAATGGCGTTCACCAAATAATTTTATTTTATTTTTGTAATCATCCTTTTCAAGAGAATAATAATTTCATCCTGTGGCTAAAAATATTTGAAAAACCAAAGCAGATTATTTCAAAATAATAATAAAAATTTTCCATATACATTTCTATGCAGTATTAAAATTTTCACATTTTAAGGGCCCATTGCAAGCCAAAAGCAGGTTAACCAAGAGTATCTGCAAAATGAATGTGTAAGCATTATTATCAGTTAAATACACTTTAAACAATGCTTAACATACCATATCAAAAAATGAATTCCATTCTAATCTCTTGTGTCATCAACTGTAATCAGGCAGCTTGTGAAATCACTCTCAAGTGCACATATTTCCTACCTCCCTCTTGTCAGCATCTATGAGGTTACTATGAAAATGAAGGGCTGACCTCCCACCTGAGCTCTCTCCTTATCTATTATTAGTTTTCATGTCTTTTCTCGTCTAATCCACCTGGCCCACTCACATCACATTTCCAACATTCAGATAGTTTCCAGTACATTCAAAAAATACTTAAAGTAAGAGTGTGTGCCATTCTGGCTATGATCAAAAACTCAAGTGAGAACACATGCTGGAGAGGATGTGGAGAAAGAGGAACCCTCCTCCATTGCTGTTGGGAATGTAAACTTGTACAACCACTTTGGAAATCAATCTGGCACTTTCTCAGACAATTAGGAATAGTACTACCTCAAGATCCAGGTATACCACTCCTAGGCATATATCCAAAACATGCTCAAGTACCTAACAAGGACATTTGCTCAACCATGTTTGTAGCAGCTGTATTTGTAATAGCCAGAATCTGGAAACAACCCAGCTATCCCTCAACGGAGGAATGGATACAGAAATTGTGGTACATTTACACAATGGAATACTACTTAGTAATTAAAAACAAGGAAATCATGAAATTAGCAGGCAAATTG